CGCCTCGCTCCGCCCAACCGGCGCGACGACCCGACGATAGAATCACCACACACCCGACATAAGGCACACCTGACTATCACAAATCTCTAGCTTCATGGCGGCGTACATGCGCAATCGAATGGTGAGAGTGCCACATTTCGTTGCCACATATCCACCTTTAACACGGGAAGAATTCACTGGTCAGTTAAACATGCAGTGTGTCTTTGAGTGACAAGTTCCCTGCAGGACCCTATTGTGCATGCTGTGCAGTGCAAAAAATGGATGACTGAAGTGAAGTTTAAGGTGGTAAATGGTGACGACACGTACGGTCAAACATTTTATTAATGCTGTTGTTGTTATTATGATTTGCAGTTTTGTCGAACCCATAAGTGAATGTTTTACCTAGAACGGACACAACCACAGACAAAAAAAATAAAATGCACACACAGTCACAGCAGTAATGATGATGATGATGACGATGATGATGAGGAAGAGGAGTAGTGGAGTGGCAGTGAACGTGGATGATCACTGGGTGGGTGAAGGGCATCCCGCGAACAGAGAGGGTGGACGAAAACATACATAAAAAAGACGAAGGACACCACGTATCAGGCAGGCGTGAAGATGCAGGCAGTCGAGAGTGAGACAGACACACATACACAAAAAAGAACACGAAATAAATTAAAATATGAACTATGAACTGAACAAAATGAAAAAAAAACCTAGAACAAAAATAAAACAATATAACTTGCACATTCGAAATGTTCCCAGGAAAACGGAAACAAACACTGTTTGAAGTAAAGCCGTCGACTGTTTCATCATTAGTGACACCCTTGGAGATGAAAAAGGTCTTGGGGAAACACTGGGAATGGGAAATAGGCGTAGGTAAAGCATAGGCCAGCTACCTCCTATGGGTTAGGAGATGACGTTTTATCTTACACGTTAGCAACGAGGGAAGCTGGTATTGTGTCATTGTTAAGGCAGCGTTCATAGTTCGCGAAGAGGCGCGTCGAGGCATGTCACGGCTCGTGAACGCGCGAAGAAGCGCAGCAACGCGCGTCCACGTGCTACCACCGCCGTGGCGCTCCAATGTTACATACCAAAACGAAGCAGCAAATGTGTATCGATTGGCTTGTGGTGATAGAGAGCGCAGAAGAGTAGGAAGGTACCAGTAGGAAGGTATCAGGTGTGGGAAGAAAGCACCCATCCTCCTGTTATCCCATACTCTCTCAGAACACGAGCGGCCAGGGTGATCGATACCTTTCAGCGGCTGTGTTCCCGTTTATAGCCCTGGAGCGCCATCACAGTGGTACGTCGTAGCGCATTACAGCGCGTTATAGCGCCGACGCGCTTCATCGCGAAGTCTGAACGCTGCCTAGTAGGGTCTTAAGACACGTCGTTATTGTGTCATGTTACGTTACTGACCCATTATCGTATCGATTTACAGGTAGACTAAACGAGTGCCTGTGTAACACTAGCCCCGGAATCCAAAATGGAAAGACTAGCATTCGTTGAGAGCGGCTGAGCAGCGACAATTTCTATGTCACTTATTGTTAGGGATCACTGGTGATATGCATCACTATCGGTTTCGCAGCATTCGGGGCGCAGCCCTAATGTCCGGCTGCATTCAATTCCCTCGAAGGACACGTTTTTGAAGGGATGGAGCAGCTGCTTTAAGCTTCTCTGAGACAAGCAGTGAAGGTGACCCTCACACTTCAATCCTCAGTAAAAGAAAAGTAAGA